GTGTTTTTAACAAAGTTCTCATAGTGTCTGCAGTTCAGTAACTCACCACAGTGTTTTGTGTCGCGGGATCGCTTTTCATTGTCAGACCAAGAGACATGTTTACTGCAAAATCGGGTGCTGTATTGAAAGTGTATTGAAAATTTAAATACTAATAAAAGGCAATTGAAAGGAAAAAAACAAGACTTAAATCGATGACTGCAAAGAACCATGACTGAAACACTTCCCCATTTGATATGACAAGTGTTAGACATCGAAACTTCTCTTCACTGTAAACCAGGATGTATAACAGGCAGCTTTAATATCAATGCAAATAGGATTCAGTTTCACTATTGCTTCATTTTAAAGTTTTAAATAATTACAAAAGAAACATTGTAACAATAACATTATTAATAACATTGACTTCTTTGCTTATTTTACTTCATCAAGTTTCAGTGTTACTTACTAAGATATTTACTTATTGTGATTTGAGTTAAACAAGTTTCTGTGCTAGCGTCTGTGGGGAATTTCTTTGATGTCAACATGGTTTCTGTCAGAGTTTCATCACATTTGGTTACCTACCATCAATTTGGATATTTTGGCAGTTTGGGGAAGATGTGGTGCAGCTATATACTTTTCCTCTTCCATTTTGTGAATACTGTTCAAGGGGAGCACTGACGAGCAAACTGAGGAAATAAATTCAGACAATGATGAAGTCTAGAGTGCAAACTGTGGTTAAATAAACCCCATATGTTTCCTGTTAAGAAGTATTATATCCTTGTTTGTTTATTACTGTGGGCCTTAACAGAAATGATTGTTAAACCTGCAGTTATAGATCGACATCCAACATAACAATGTATGATGTGACTTACTCTGATTGTCTTTGAACCACCTGGTACCCAAAACCAGCAGCAGAGTTATTCAGGGCCTTCCATGCCACGGGATCAATAGTGAAACAAAGTGCAGCATTTAACACTGAGAATAAAGAAGAAGGAAGAACATCTGTAGTTTTATTTAAAGCCACTGTAAAGGATGATAACATGGTTATATTATCTCTAATTCTAATCACATATGAGGAACTCCATACAGTGTATGTGTTACTTTGATTCCACCTCTTGAATCCAGTCACAGCTTTCCACAGTTACCACTAGAGAGCATCAAAGTCAGATACTAGATTTGAACATACTGGCACGTAATTATTCACTTGAAAAACATACTTAAGATTTTACTATGGAATTAGTTTTGTGTCTTTGATTCTTATATCTTACTCCATCTGTCAAAAGCAAAATACTGACACTTAAAACTTTCAAGAAAAGATGCTGTTGCTATGCTACAGTATGAAAAACTATTAATATACTGTACACATTTGCTTATTTTGCAGTACTAAAAATTGAATTGTGTAGAAAATTTTACTGGTGTGCATATTCCTCTTTCCTCTTAAACTGTCTGTCAGATTCATCAATACGTGCCACACCCATTCTATGATCCATGCTATGATTACTGTCCAGTAAAAATCGTGTATTGTTGCGATCCTACAGCTTTCCGGTTGTTTATTTTTGCCACACAAATAAAGCCTTCCTTTTATGGACATGCTAAGAGTAGTCAAAACGTCACATAGTGCTAACGCTTTTTTGTTTCCTGCTTCATGTCACAGCATTCAACAATGACAGTGTCATGATTTCAAAGTTTTGCGAAACCTATTTTGAAATACATTTCGTAACAGTGGTACGCCCTCAAGTTCTGCTTTTCCTTATTGTCACAAGTTTTGATATTTTCAACATCAGTTAAAGAAAAAATGTACTTCTTCACTTGTTTGCTTTTTTTCATATGTGCATTTAAATATTTCAGGTGTATTTTTATCTGAATATATACTAGTGTTCAATTAAAAAATAAAATAAAATAAAACAAGCATTAAAATATAAAAATAAAGAATTTAAAAACTAACCACCTGTAGCAAAGGTGAGTGCAGGGTCATAAATACGTTGGATGGATGAAGTATGACGTCACAGTGGTGTAAAATGTTCTTTTTTTTGTAGCCCTGCACAAGGTAGTAAGGCAGATATGATAAATTTATTATCTCTGTATCTTAAATCCAGTTTTGCCATTTTCTAATGGTTTATAATCAAGCGTTTAGTTTGTTTCAGTAAAACTATTTATGAAAGACTTTTTCAATCAGTGAATTTCAACAACAAAAAAAATTATGCTATTTACAGCTAGAAGCTAACTGAGCTAATCACACATTTAATTTGTGTTAGCAGAGGCTAAAATGTAAATACAGTAACGACCATCACTAAAGTATTTCTGGATATTATTTCACTAAATGATTTATAGTCCATGTTAGTTTTGGATACTACAGTTTTTCTTATTAAGAATGTTGCTGTGTTGTATGTATTTCCTTTCTAACCTTCCTTTCATATCAAACATCCTTGAAAGAGTAGTTGTCAAACAGCTAACAGATCATCTGCAGAGGAATGGCTTATTTGAAGAGTTTCAGTCAGGTTTCAGAGCTCATCACAGCACAGAAACAGCTTTAGTGAAGGTTACAGATGATCTTCTTATAGCCTCTGACAGT